TGAGTTCTAGGACAGTCAAGGCTACTCAGAGAAGAAACTCTGTCTCAAAACAAACAAACAAAAAACCTCTTCTCTATTCCTTACTCTTTCTCTCTCTCTCTTTAGAGACTCACTTCAGCTGGGACTGCTTGGAGTTTCTACATTATTTACTCAATGTGTTTAGTGTAATTTGGTTTGGGCATTCAAATAACCTGCTCTAATGACCATGTTTCATATCTAGAACATGTAATTTAATCTTCCCTGTGAACATCAGTTAAAGATCAAAGGAGTCAGAAATCACCCCTCCCAGAGCTCATTTTGAGCAGCAAGGCTTCCATGACCTCCCCACAACAACAGTTAAGAGATCTAGGAAAGGCTGGGAGGTACCCAGAATCCAGGAATGCTTGGAAAGAGATGGGGCTTGTTGGACAAAAGAGCCATACGCAGTTCTAGTGGGAGAGCAAATGAGATTACGGGACCCTTTCTTTTCCTTCTTTCTAGATCTTGCTGGCAGCATGTGAGAACTTTTCAAGTTGATAAGTGTAACTCCAGAGGTGCTGGTCGCAGTCTGTGGACCTGCAGGGTCTAGGTCACCGGGATGAGATGTATCCATTGGCGCGACGTGAGCTTAGGCAACTTTCCTGACTCATCTGCCAGATGGAGAGCAGCAAACAAACACCCTTCTCGATGGCCTCATTAGAACTAGAATGCCAGGGTGGGGCACTTACATTCTGTGCACTGTGCTTTCTTATGAATAGTGAACCAGGCATATCTTTAATCCCATCACTGGGTGGCAGAGGCAGGTGGACCTCTGAGTTAGAGGCCAACCTGGTCTATGGAGTGAGTTCCAGGACAGCCAGGTTAAACAGAGAAACCCTGTCTTGAAAAAAAAAATCTCTATCTGGTTTTCGTTTTATTTGTTTTTGTTTTGAGACAGAGTGTTATGTGTAACTCTGGCTGGTCTGGAGCAGGATATCATCAGATTCACAGATTCACAGGGGTGAGGGTAGAGGTGGGAGGGGTGGGGAGTGGGGTGTCCACCTGCCTCTGCCACCGGCTGAGGGAGTGGTGCACAGGCGTGCACCACTCATGACTGATTTGCTTTCTTCTTATTTTTAAATTTACATTTATTTATGTTTTGTATGCATACATATGCATGTGTGCACACTCGCACATGCCATAGGGCACGTGTGGAGGTCAGAGGTCAACTTGACAGAATCGGTTCTCTCCCTCCACCACCATGCAGGTCCCAGGCTCAGTTCATGTGTCTCTATAGCAAACCCCTTTACGCACCGAGTCAATTCCCTAGCTCCTGTGTGGGTTCTGGTTCTGTTTGCATTTTCAGTTAGAACTAGAGAAGAAAAGCCTCTGGGCTTTAGATTTTTTTCAGTCTATAATGTTACAGCTAATGGTTGACTCCAACATTCTGTGGTTTGGTCTCTCTGGAGGCATCCCCATGGTCCAGAGCAAAGCAAGTGGTCCACCTCCTGCTTCAGCTGTATGCTACAGCAGGGGTTTCCAGGTGGCGGGTACCTGGAGGGTCATCCCAGCAGAGCGACAAACCTAGAGGCTCTGAGAAACTGCTGATGTTGACTGACGGTAGCCGTAAAAGGTCACCGGAGGTACAGAAATGGTGTCTGTGGTGATCCAGAGGAGGGAATGTCTAATAGTGAAATATAATCTGCAGTTCCCAGGGCCTTATTGCTAGCAGTTCTGCCCCTTTGCTGGGTTGCCATGGTGACCACAGCTGGCACTGCAGGGCCACCAGGATGAAGAATGGGTACTATTGATGCATCCTGACCCAAGAAGAGGTGCAGGCAGAAAGCCTTCCTAGACAGGGCATCTGGGCATGGCCTGGTACGGCCATCTATGGTCTTTTGCATAGGCCAATAGCCAGAGAGTGGTGTATTTATGTGTGTGGGGGGGGTTGGGTGGGTGAGGGGCACAAAGGACATAGCCAGTGGTTGGAATTCAGGCCTTTTCTTGGTCTGGACAGGCCAGGCTGCCTGAAGGATTCCCCTGGGCTTCCCAAGTTCAGAAACATCTCTTTTGTGCTGGGTTCCCTCCATCTTTGCTCAGTGTGTATTTAGGTTTTTGCACAGAAGCACTGGCTCTCGTGTCAAAAGAAATCCAGATGTCCACCAGTTCTTAATATGTGTGTGCACGCATGCATGTGCACAGTCATGAAAATGCACATATTTCGGTACACTTGTAGAGGTCAGAGGACCACTCTGGGGAGTCAGTTCTCTCCTGTCACCTTGTGGACAGGACCCTGGGATCTAACTCCAGTCATCAGGCCTGTGCACAGGGACCTTTCCCATTTACCAGTGCTTGTCCATAGGTTCTGATTTGGGATCTAGGGCCTCAGTCTCCTTAGCACTGAAATCCTCGAATGTGTCCAGTGCTAGAGCTCTCCAGATCCTTCTATTCTCTTTTCTGCAGAACAGACTTGGGGGTGTTAGGACTTGGGGATCAAAGACTGCCACCAACTTTGCTTTCTTTTTTCAAAATTAATTAATTTTTATTTATATACATTGTTGTTTCACCTGCATGAATGTCTATGTGAGGGTGTTGGTGCTGCCATGTAGGTGCTGGGAATTGAACCCGGGTTCTCTGGAAGAGCAACCAGTGATCTTAACCACTGAGCCATCTGTCTCTTCAGCCCCAACTTTGCTTTCTTTTGCCAGGTCCTCTCTTTCCTTTCTGGTTCCTCCTCTACGGTCAAGGAGTCGGAGAAAGGACTGGTGGGGACAGTGGAGTTCGGACTGAGGTTCAGAGGTGGTTTGTCCATGAGTCAAAGCTGTGCCCCTGCCTCTGGCGGGTCAGCTTGATGTAGGCCTTTGGATTGTGTGGATTTGGCCCATCCTGAACTAAGTTCTGACTCTGCCCCTGTTTGTGACTGCATGATCTGACATCTCCCTTCTGTTTCACCTGTACAATGGTCATGGTGATGTCCACCTACCGCTGTGTGTACGGCCAGAAGCATGAAGTCAGGGGAGCCCTGAGCGCACATGGGAACCTGTGTGGCAGATGCTGGAGGCCAGAACCTCATGTCCTGATTCACTGCTGTCATTACAGGGTCCTGGAAGGCCCTCTGCCTTTCTCCCAAACCTTCTCTTCTTAGGCTGCTCTCAGAAATCCTCTGTAATATTTTTCTTTTTCTATTTTTGTTTTGTTTTTCAAAACAGGGTTTCTCAGCCGGGCGGTGGTGGCGCATGCCTTTAATTCCAGCACTCGGGAGGCAGAGGCGGGCGGATCTTTGTGAGTTCGAGGCCAGCCTGGTCTACAAGAGCTAGTTCCAGGACAGGCACCAAAACTACAGAGAAACCCTGTCTCGAAAAACCAAAAACCAAAAAAAAAAAAACAGGGTTTCTCTGTCTAATTCTGGCTGTCCTGGAACTAGCTCTTTAAACCAGGCTGGCCTCAAATTCACAGAGATCCGCCTACCTCTGCCTCCCAAGGGCTGAAATTAAAGGTATACGCCACTATTGCCTAGTATTTATTTATTGTTTTTTTTTCCAAGACAGGGTTTCTCTGGGTTGCCCTGGCTGATCCTGTCCTGGAACTTGATCTGTAGACCTGGTTGGCCTTGAATTCACAGAGATCCGCCTGCCTCTGCCTCCCAAGTGCTGGGATTAAAGATATAGGCCACCATGCCCAGCCCAAGATGTTATTTTGTTTTCATTTATGTATATGTGGATGTGTGTAACATCCACACCTCTACCACTTGTGAGAGGGTATCTGTGGAGGCCAGAAGAGGGTGCTGGATACCCTGGAGCTGGGAGCCTCCCAGTATGGATGCTGAGAGTCGAGCATGGGTGCTCCGTGAGAGCGCTGTGTGCTTGTAACTGTAACTACTGAGCCAGCTCTTCAGGTCCCAGACAGGGCTAATTTGATCCATGCTGAGGAATAACTGGAGAATATTTAGTCTCTGTTTCCTATAATCAAACTGCTGTGTTTCTGTAAGAACAGAAAGCTTTGTATATACAACAAAAATCCTGCGGTTCCTAACATACAAGAGTCTCGAGCATGCACCAAGGTGTTCGGGGCTGCATTTGCTGATACTGTATGGTGTGGTATGGCAAACAGTGTAAGACGCTGGTGTTGCGTGTTCAGAACCAGGGCTGCAGTGAAGTTGCTTTGTACAGTGTGGGTGAGCCCTGCCAGAGGCAACTCAGGGTCATTGTGTTTGATTTTGAATTAATGTTTGGTGATCGCATCTTTAGAATCATTTTACTGTTGCCAAATCACTTGTGGTCCTCACACTCAGTTATGTGACCCATAGCTTAAGAAGCCTTGGTGGGGACTAGAGAGATGATCCAGAAATTAAAAACACTGACGGTTCTTCCAGAGGTCCTGAGTTCAATTCCCAGCAACCACATGGTGGCTCATAACCATCCATAATGAGATCTGGTGCCTCTTCTGGCCTGAAGGGCATACATGCAAGCAGAACACTGTACACATAATAAATAAATCTTAAAAGGGGGGGACTGGAGAGATGGCTCAGAGGTTAAGAGCACTGGCTGCTCTTCTAGTGGTCCTGAGTTCAGTTCCCAGCAACCACATGATGGTTCACAATCATCTATAATGGAATCTTGTGCCCTCTTCTGGCATGAAGGCATACATGCAGGTAGAACACTGTATACTTAGTAAATAAATAAACTCTTTTAAAAATTTTTTTTAAAAAAAGGAGCCTTGGTTAGGTTGAATCAAAGTTCCAAACCTAACCTGGTGGCTCCCCTGTGTCATACATCTTTGAATCTCTAGGTTTATGTGTCAAGCTGACTGGCTTTAAGTTGGTTGAGAAAGTGTGTAGTCTTCTTGGAGTGGCTTCTATGGTCAGGCGGAAGAATGATCAGGTAGAAGAAGGTGGCCACTTTATGCTTAGAATGGGGGAGCCCAGGGAAGAGTTCAGAGGACAGCAAAACTTGTCTGTGTGTCTGTGTTTGTCTGGAGGGTGGAATTCTGAAGTCAAGGCCCTCTTACTTGGCCCCACTGAACCTTGTACACCTTGCCTTTAGGTCCTGGAAGGAGACCAGGCTATCTTGCTGAGGATCAAGAAGGCTGTGCGGGCCATCCACAGCTCTGGCCTTGGTGAGTGAGCCTGCCTGGGGTCTGGGGCCTAGGGCCTAGCCAGGCCTACAGCCAGCTCTGAGAGCCTTTCCTTGTCTGCAGGTCATGTGGAGAATGAGGAACATTACCGAGAGGCTGTGGAGGCCTTGGGGAATAGTCACCTGTCCCAGAACAGCCACGAGCTGTCCACGGGCTTCCTGAACTTGGCTGTGTTCACCCGTGAGGTGGCTGCGCTCTTCAAGAACCTGGTGAGGCTCCTGCTTCTTCTTGCCAGACTCAGGGCAAATCCAGCAGTTTGTTTCTGGGAACTGAACCCAGGGTCTTCTGCAGAGCAGTCAGCGCCCTTAGCCGCAGAGCCATCTCCCCAGCCTGAATCCAGCCTCTGTCTTCAGAGCTGACCAGGATGAGTCAGTTGTGCCTCTCGGTCTCTGACCACCCCTGCGCTGAAGCTTCTGCACGGATCTGGCACATCCTTCCCGTTTTGTTTTGAGGCTGGTCCCACTCCCGCCGCGGCCTTCTGAATGCTGGGCTCACAGTCGTCCCCCAACGCTGCCTCAGTTTTGTCTGATTTCTAGTCTCACTTTCCCCTGCTCTACTCCACTTCACCCAGGAGCAAAGGCAGGCTGGCAACAGGGCAGGATGAGCCCCGTACAGGGTAGAGGAGTTCGGGGAAGGCACCGAGTTCAACACCTCCAGCCCTCCTCTGGTTCTTCATTTCATCCTCTCCCTGACTCTTCCACTCCCACGGCTCTCCTTTGCCTCCTGGTACCTCCCTGGACCCTGATCCCCTTGGGGCGGGGTCTCAACTTCTTGCAGGTGCAGAACCTGAACAACATCGTCTCCTTCCCACTGGACAGTCTGATGAAGGGGCAGCTAAGGGACGGGCGGCATGTGAGTGTCTGTGTGGGAGAGAGGGAGCCGCTGAGGGTAGAGGGATGTAGGACTGGGCGGAAGAGGAGGGGCTGACACCGCGGGAGTCCTGCCTCATACTGCCCCTGAGTCAGCTGGAGGGCTGGCATCCATGCCACTTGTAGAGTTTGGCCTGCGGTTCTGACTCCCCACCTCTACTCCCGGACTAAAGGATAGGTGAGCCTCACGTGCTTCCCAGTACTGGGACGTGGTTGTTCAGAGTACAGGCCCAGGGTCCCCAATGCCCCGGTGCTGTTCCTCCTGTACCTGGCAGCTCTGGATTCATCAGAGAGGTCCTGCGAATGGAGGGTGGCAGCGTCACCTCCCTGGGCAGTCTGCCCCACAACGCATGGGGCCGGAACTGCCTTCATCTCAAAGTGACACCAGCATGGGCACCTCCCAAACCAGACTGGCGACTTTTTTCCTCAGAAGATGTTGAGGCTGTCTAGAAGGGTGTGGATAGCTGGGCTGGCTCAGGCTCAGGCATCTGGCCCAGGTTAGCCAGGTCAGGAGTCAGCTGTGTCTTACTGGTTTGCTGTGTGACCTTAGGGAGACTTCCCAACCAGTTTGTGCCTGCGTATTCTCCCTGGTAAGAGGGTGGCCTCATATCCAGCAGGGTAAATTGGTAGGATACAATAGGGGTGGTGTTTGACCTTTATCTCCCTGCCTCATCCTACTTGGCCCATGACAAAACTCAGAGCAGAACCTGGAGGTTGACTGTGCCCCAGGCTAGAACCCACCACACCTGGCTGGTTCTTGGCAACTCTGGGGAGAAGTTGGGGTGGGCTGAGCCTCAGGAAGGGTTGGTTGGGTGTGTGCTAGTGGGTATCAGTTGGAGAACAGCTCTGGACAACATAACTTAAGAGTGGGGGGTCCCTCTCAAGGTACAGAGCATACTGTTTATTCCAGGGCTGACGGTTCCCTTTGGGCAACTTGTTCTTTTTTCAACCCCAGGACTCGAAAAAGCACCTGGAGAAGGCGTGGAAAGACTATGAAGCCAAAGTGTAAGTAACCTTGGAAGGGTGGACAGAAGGAGAGGGTGCTTGTGTTGAGGAAGTGTCACTCAGGGTCTCTGGCTCCTAGGCCAGGCCTGGCTGGCTGCTGGGAGCTCTGCTGCAGGACAGTCCCATGTGAACGGACCATGGGATGCTCCCCCCACCCCCAGTGACCTTCTAGCCTTGCGGTACCCATGTGGACAGGGACATTGCATCCTCAAGATCACTCACCCCTGAGAAGGAGGTGTTAGTGTCCAGAGGCTCAAAGAGACTGAGTTGTTAGCTCAGGGCACACAGCTGGGGCAGCAGATGGTAGCTGCGGACACTGGGTGGACATAGGAGAGAGGAGACGCTGTGGCACGCCTAGGCTTCCTGTGTGCGCCACACCATACTACAGTTCTGCCACCAGCTATGGGCCATCCCCGGGACAGAGGAGTCTGTGGCATTCTGTGGCCAGCCTTCCTAAGCAGCCTGCTTCGGTTCTCTCAGGTTCCTGTTTCAGAACCTGTATTCTTCCTTGTAAAAATGATCTTGCTTACCTTTTGCTAAAGAAAAATATATTTCTTATATATAATTTAGAAAAAATGATGAAGTTAAAAAAAAAAAGAGAGAGAGGGAAAGAGAGAGAAAATTTGCTCAGTATGAGTTTACATACATTCAGTCCCAGAAACTCCAGAGGCGAGGAAGGAGGATGACTTGATCCCAGGAGTTTCAGGCCAGCCTGGACAATACAGTGAGATCCTGTCCCATTACCCACACACACAGAAAAATAAGAAAAAGGTTTAATCATCTTTAGGAGAGTATTAGGGTCATTTTGTAGGAAGTGTCTGAAAGTTCTCCGTTAGAAATTTTCTTTCTTTCTTTCTTTCTTTCCTTCTTTCTTTCTTTCTTTCTTTATGTTTTTTTTTAAAGATTTTATTTATTATGTATACAATATTCTGTCTGTGTATATGCCTGCAGGCCAGAAGAGGGCGCCAGATCTCATTACAAATGGTTGTGAGCCACCCTTTCTTTATGTTTTTTGAGACAGGGTTTCTCTGTGTAGGTTTGGAGCCTCTCCTGGCACTCGCTCTGTAGACCAGGCTGGCCTCAAACTTGCAGAAATCCCCTGCCTCTGCCTCCCAAGTGCTGGAATTAAAGGCGTGCACCACTGCCACCACCTGGCCAATTTATTTATTTATTTTTACAAAACCGTATGGCACTCTAATTTCATAACTTAAAAAACAAGGTTGGGGGGTTGGGGAGATGGCTCAGTTGTGTTCACTTTGCAAGCCTGAGTGCCTGAGTTCCATCCCCAGAAACCATGTTAAACCAAACAACAAGCAAGGTGGCGGCTCCCTCCCGTAATTCCTGCAGCATGTAAGTGGAGGCAGGAAGATCAGCTTCAAAGCCAGCTTCTGCTGCATAGCTAGCTTGAGACCGGCTTGGGATACATAAGACTCTGTCTCAGAAAAATAAAAAAATAAAAAACCAAGATGAAATAGGGAGAAGCTACTAAAGTGTAGGAGAAAAACTCTTTCCTCCCCAGAAATGAGACAGTAATATTGTTCCACCTTTTTCTTCTAGATACAGTGAACTATGTTGATAAGACTGAGATTCAAATAACCATATCATTGTGTAATCTGCTATTTTTCTTTAGAAAATATCCTGTCAGACTGGGTGTGGTTATGTATACCTATCATACTTGTATTTGGGAGGGTAAGGCAGGAGGGTTGCAAGTTTGAAGCTAGTCTGGTACATAGAGAGATGCTGCCTCAGAAACAATAGCTGGGCTTGGTGGCACATGCCTTTAATCCCAGCATTCAGGAGGCAGAGGCAGGCAGATCTGTGTGAGTTCGAGACCAGTCTCACCTATAAAACTAGGTCCAGGACAGCCAGTGCTATTCAGAAAAACCCTGTTTCTGAGAAAACAAAAACAAAACAAAACGAAGCAAACAAACAAACAAAAACAAAAGAGAGAGAGAATTAAAAAAAGAGGAGGAAGAAAATACTTGCCTATTGCACCCTGGATCCAATCCCCAGTGTAAATGGGTGTGGCTGTGGTACAGACCCCAATTCCAGAAAGAGAAGGCAGAAGGGTGAGAGGTTCAAGGTTACATACCCCTACACATAGAGTTTGAGGCTAGTCTGGGATGCATGAGACCCTGTCTAAAAAAAAAGAAGAAAAAGCCGAAATTATGACCCATTTTTCTGCATTAGTACATGTTTCCAGACAGCAATAGTTAACTGGGGCAGGGCGTGCCAACACATTCATTCTGCAATGTGTGTTTAATCTTCCCTGTCATGGAGGAAGCATCCTGTGAGCTAATATTTGCTCCAGTGCGTAATGACCACTGCAGGACGGGTTCCAAAAAGCAGGTGCTGGAGCATTTATTGCCCCTCCGTCCCCTAGAGCCATGCACACCTGTCCAGGTCCAGACTTAAAGGTCATCCCTCCTCCTCTTACAGCTGTGAACATCCTGCCTGGGATGTTCATTTTAGAGGTCCAAACATGGGCAGACCCAGGCTAGCATTATCTGTATGAGTTGCTAAGGGAACCACGTGACTCTTCCCTTAACCTTGTAGAGCCATGTCTACCAAAGTGGACAGAATCACCTTTCCCTACAGACCTTTCCCAAGCAACTCTGTCTTTACTAACTTTTTAATAAAATTTTTTTTGTAAGATTTCAAAGGTGTAGTGGCATGCAGTTTTTTTTTAATATTTATTTATTTTGTATACAATATTCTGTCTGTGTGTATGCCTGCAGGCCAGAAGAGGGCACCAGACCCCATCACAGATGGTTGTGAGCCACCATGTGGTTGCTGGGAATTGAACTCAGGACCTTTGGAAGAGCAGGCAGTGCTCTTAACCTCTGAGCCATCTCTCCAGCCTGGCATGCAGTTTTGATCCCAGCACTTGGGAGGCAGAGAGAGGCTGATCTCTATGAGCTTGAAGCCAACCTGGTCTACATAACGAGTTCCAGGACAGCCAGGGCTGCACAGTGAGACCCTGGTTAAAACAAAACAAAACAAAACAAAACAAACATTTGTTTATAGAAAATACTATTCCATTGACAAGATATGGGCTGCCTGGGGTTAGTGATGCACTGTTGATGTGGCCCTGACTAGGACCGTATTTGAGTGGCACATCATGGTGACTATGCGTTCCTTTCCATGGGGGTTCCAGGTGTTGCCAGATGTTAGTAAACTGTAAGATACTACATGGTTCAACCCATATGCAAAGCCAGTCCAGGCATTAGGATGGCCCATATTGCTAACACCATCTGAATCCCTCTGGAGCCCATGGAAAGAGGGCACTGTCTCTACCTTGGGCTGCTGGCATGCCAAGTCCTGTGCCACCCTAGGACCATGTTTACCAGACTGATACATACATACATAATACATACATATACATACATTCATACACACACACACAGCTCTGTTTCCTCATCTATAAAATGGCACAGTTTTACAGTACATTTAACATACCCGGCGCTGGGCTGGAGAGATGACTCAGTGGTTAAGAGCACTTGTTCCTCTTGCAGAGGACATGGATTTGATGCCCAGTACCTAGATGATGGCTCACAACCATCTGTAACAACCTTCAGTACCAGAGGATCTGATGCCCTCTTCTCAGGTACCAGGCACACATATGGTATACATGCATATACACAGGCAAAGCACTTATACACGTACAATTAAATAGATCTAAAATCAAAAGTATCCCATCTCTCTGTGCCAGATCTGGGATCAGAATAATGGGAAGTGCCTGAGAAGCAGAAACCCAGACCCCTGTCCTTCTTAGCATTGCCCTGACTAGATTTTTTTCTTTCTTAATATTTATTTTTATTTTATATATATGTGCCCCGGTGAGTGTCTCTGCACCGTGCCCATGCAGTGCCTGTGGAGACCATCAGATGCCCCTGGAACTGGAATCACAGATGGTTGTGAGCCTCCATGTGGTTTCTGGGACTCGAACCCAGGACCAGTGCTCTTAACCACTGGGCTATCTCTCCAGCCCCCAACCTGTGATCTTGAACATCTCACTTTTCCTGGGTTTCAGCTTTATCACTCTGATTGTAGATTCTAACAAAGACAGTGTGGCTGTCTGCGTATGGTGGGTACCAAGATGGTGGAGTGGAGCTGAGCCACTGGGTTGGTCACCCACTGTGCCCAATACAGTGCTGCCCTCTGGGTGCTACACTAGATAGATCTGGATTCAAATCCCACCTCTGCCAGTTAATAGCCATGTGACTTGGACAAGCCTTAAGCTTCTCATCCGTACAATGGGGTAGCGTCCTGCCTCATGTGCTTATCACTTTAGTGTGTGAAGCCCTGATACAAAGTCAGTGTGTAAAGATAGCCGTCAGGTTGGGGGTGCAGCTCAGTTGGTAGAGTGATCGCCAAGCACACACAGAGACCTGGGCTCATTCCCTGGTGTGATGTAGAAAACCTGGTGTGATGCACACTTACACTCTCAGCATTTGGGAGGTGGATGCTGGAAGATCAGAAGGTCAAGATGATCTTCTGAGACATAGTGAGGCCAGATTGGGTTACGTAAGACCCCTTTTCTGTGAAGAGTAAATGAGGAAGAATCACACTTAACGCTTTGGAAGAGCTTCCTTGGTGCCCGGAGCTGGGAAGACTCCTTACACCATTACCAGATTTGTTGTCCCAGCAAGAGAAGGCACAGCTGTCACCCACCCCATCCATAGATAGTAAATAAATAAATAAAGTCACCCCAGGTCCAGGGCCCTGCCTTGTTGTATCTTGCTGGTTTATATGACAAGAAGAGAAGTGATTCAACAAATAATGGAAACAAGAGTGACCAAGGTGTGGTAGCATCCACACAGGGCAGGGCGTGCAGGCAGTTCGATTTGACGAAGGGGGGGTAGTGAGGGAGGTGTGCAGGAGACTTGGCGTCACCACCTAGCTCAGGGCCTTCAGGTTGGCAGGTGCACAGTGTGCCTTGAGTCTTATTTCCCTCTCCTTCCTCACTACACTTGGATACCTGTCTTTGCCTCTCAGAGTAACATTGTGAAAGTAACAGGCTTTCAGAGCTTTGACTAAGAAGGTCTGTGAGCTCATGAGAACCAAGGTTCTGCTGGTCCTCTAACATACACATATTCTAAGTCCCTTAGCTAATCCGAACTCGTCACCCTTCTTCATTATCCCATCATCTTCATTGGTCCCATCATCTTCATTATCTCTGACATAAAGTCTCGAACCCCTTCCTCTTGTTATAACTTAAAGACCAGGAAGCCTAACTGGTGGGAACCAGGCCTACTGTGGTCCTACCTCCCCATTGCCATCGCCTCAGGCAATGCCACATCCCTGTCCATCTCTGCATAGCTCCCTGAGCCCTCCACCTCAATGTATCCCATGTTCTTGCCCTCCTGCCCAGGCCTAGCTTCCTCCAAGCTGGGGTGTCAGGGCTTCCAGTCCAGCATAGACATCTCTTTCTAAGTTATCGTGACAAGGTCTCTCTTTTACTCTCCTGCCTCAGCTTTGATTTGTGTCTTTCTCCTCTGTGACCCCCTGGACTCCCCAAACCTACCCCACCATCTGTTGTTGCCCATCCAGGCACACAGATGGCACGGGGATGGGCTTTGTTCCCACACTCGTGGGCCCATAGCAGGGATGGTGGCTGGGATAAGGGTTGGTGACGCTTGTTCAAATGTTTCTTTCTTTATGACTTAGGGCCAAGCTGGAGAAGGAGAGGGATCGAGCCAGGATCACAGGGGGAAGCCATGGGGAGCTGTCCCAGGACACGCAGCGAGAGCGGCGGGTCTTCCAGCTGCACATGTGTGAGGTGAGGTGTGACCCCCAGTGAGGATGGGTTAGGTGTGTTTCCTGTTTGCCTCTTCCAGACCCTCAAGGCGTCAGCCACAGGCCCTAGGGCTGGCCAGCTGGGCTGTAGGATGTGACCAAGGTTCAGTGGAGGCTCAGAGGATTAGCCCTGGGCTGGGGAACAAAACCCCTGTCACCAGGATCTGGCTTACATCATGCTTCTTATCCTGTCTTCTGCCAGTACCTTGTCAAAGCTAGAGAGAGTCAGGTGAAGCAAGGTCCAGACTTCCTGCAGAGCCTCATCAAGTTCTTCCACGCCCAGCACAAGTAAGTATCTCCCCGCCTCAGCCTTTAATGCACCCCTCTGGGATTTGAGACCCTCCAGGTCTCTGTGTGCCTGGACCTCGTGAGCAACGCTTCCATCACACAGATGCTGCTGCATAAAGCTTTCACTGTGGTTCAGACACTAGGATTGAGCATAGTGATCCCCCCAGTCCCCCCAATACCCCTGGAGCAGGGAGCAGATACAGCATTTAAGCATTTATTCATGTATATGTGGGGATATAGATATGAATATATATATGAATATATATATACATATATATATTCTTTTTTTTCAAGACAGGGTTTCTCTGTGTAGTCTTGGCTGTCTGGAACTAGTTCTGTAGGCCAGGCTGGCCTCGAACTCAGAGATCTGCCTACTTCTGACTCCCAAGTGCTAGAATTAAAGGTGTGCCCCACCACCGCCCAGCTATTTAGCCATATTTTATAGATGAGGAAACTGAGTCCCACTTACTAAGTTGCCAGGGCTAGTCAGTGAGATCTGAACCCAGAGAGTCTCTCTGCATGCCTGCTCTCACCTTCAGGCAGCATGCCCAAGGGTGCCTGTGGGGACCTTCTCCACCTTCTGGCCTCATCTACATTTCCATCCCTCCCTGGTCCCCGTGTTTGGCCTCTGGCCTTCCTTAGCTTCTTCCAAGATGGCTGGAAAGCAGCTCAGAGCCTGTCCCCCTTCATCGACAAGCTGGCAGCCTCGGTCCATGTGGTAAGTCTAGCCTGTCCCTCAGTTGTGTTCAACCCCGTGTCCTTTTGGGAAGCTGGAAGTGTGGAGAGCTGGCTCCCAACACAGAGTGAAACACTGGCCCAGTATGCTGCGTCAGGCTCTACCCTGCAATGTCCCCTCACTGGCCACGGGTCCTGTCCTCTGCCCATAGCTTCGGCAAGCTCAGGAGGAGGAGCTGCACAAGCTGACCCAGCTCCGCGACTCCCTCCGAGGGATGCTGCATCTGGAGAGCAGAGAGGTCAGGCCCTGAATCATTCTAAAAGAGATGCCTGACCCATCCTCCTCACCCTGGCATACAGAGGGAGGGAAGGAGGGAGAGAAGCCCCCAAGTGTCCCCCGAGGAGCAGTGCAGCACGGGGCTCTTCCCTCCCAGACACCCTGAAGTCTCCTTTGCATGTCTGAGGTGCAGGAGCACCCAAACCGGAAGAACTCAGGGGGCGGCTACAGCATCCACCAGCACCAAGGCAACAAGCAGTTTGGGACTGAGAAGGTGGGCTTCCTGTACAAGAAAAGCGATGGGTGAGTGACTCAGAGAGCTCAAGCAACTTCCCCAAAGACACACAGGTCGGACATGCAGGTTAGAGAAGATGCTCCAGTAACTATTCTTGTATTCCTGTGGACCATTTTGCACAGTCTGATGGTATACAGTTATCAAAGGACAACTGGGCATGTGGCTCTTCGCTAAAGGTCACTAAAGGTTATTCTTCAAAAGTTGTAGCAACAGGGCCATCCGTGGCACGTGCCTTTAATCCCAGCATTTGGGAAGCTGAGGCAGAGGATATCTATGTGTTTGATATCTAGCAGCAGTTAAGATTTACTTACCAAGCAGTTAAGATTTACTTAACCTCAGCGATTAAGAGCACTGCCTGCTCTTCCAAAGGTCCTGAGTTCAATTCCCAGCAACCACATGGTGGCTCACAACCATCTGTGATGGGGTCTGATGCCCTCTTCTGGCCTGCAGGCATACACACAGACAGAATATTGTGTACATAATAAATAAATAAATATTTTAAAAAAGATATTTGCTTACCAAGTCCTTAAGCCAGGTGGTGGTGGCGGCACACAGCTTTAATTCTAGTGCTCGGGAGGCAGAGGCAGAGGCAGGCAGATTTCAGTGAGTTCAAGGCCAGCCTGCTCTACAAGAGCTAGTTCCAGGACAGGCTCCAAAGCAGCACAGAGAAACCCTGTCTTGAAAAACAAAAACAAAACAAAACAAAAAACCCAAAGAAAAGAAAAAAGAAAGAAAGACTTACGAAGCACTTAATATGTCTTCATTCTTGCCCTCTATACAATATACTGTGGATACCTACAAATATGCCTAGAAATGAAAACATCAGGGCTGCAGAGGTGGCTCAGAGGTTAAGAGCACTGACTGCTTTTCCGGAGGTCCTGAGTTCAATTCTCAGCAACCACATGATGGTTCATATCTCTCTTTAATGAGAGCTGGTGCCCTCTTCTGGTGTTCAGGCAGAACACTAAATACATAATAAATAAATCTGAAAGAAAGAAAGAAAGAAAGAAAGAAAGAAAGAAAGAAAGAAAGAGAAAGAAAACTATGCCTTGCTTCCTGGTGTTAATTTTTCATTTTAGAAAGTAAAAATTTAGAAAAACCAGTAAGATGGCTTAGAGCAGTGGTTCTCAACCTGTGGGTCCCGACCCCTTTGGGCCGTGGGTCTCAGCCTTTCTAATTGTGCTTTTCTTTAACACGGTTCCTCAGATTGTGATGACCCAACCATTTCCCTTGCTACTTCATAACTATAACTTTGCTACTGTTACGCATTGTCATATGTAATATAAATATCTGGTATGCAGGTAGTCTTAGATCACTCCTGTAAAAGGGTCATTCAACCCCCAAAGAGTCGCAACCCACAGGTTGAGAACTGCTACTTTTTCACAGGGTCACCTAAGAACATAAAAAAAAACATATTTATATTATGATTCATAATAGTAGCAAAATTAGTTATGAAATAACAATCAAAATAATTTTATGGTTGGGGTCACCACAACATGAAGAAGTGTTAACAGGTCACAACATTGGGAAGGTTGGGAGTCACTGGCTTAGAGGGTAAGGGTGTTTACTGTCATGCTTGGCCACCTAAGCTCAGGCCCTGGGATCCACACGGTAGAAAGAGAACTGAACATCTTAGTTACTTTTCTGTTGCTGCGAAGAGATGCCATGACCACGGCAACTTATGGAAGAAAGAGTTTACAGGGGTTTGTGGTCCCAGAGGGAGAGTCCATCACCATCGTGCAGGGAGCATGGCAGCAGCATCAGATCTTCCTGCCAAGCACGAGGCAGAAGAAGAGCGTACAGGAGATGGCATGGGTTTACCCCTCAGTGACGCCTCCCAATCCTTCCCAAACAGTTCTACCAACTGGGGGCCAGGTATTCAGACATGAACCTGTGTGGACTGTTCTCATTCAGACCACCACCCTGACTCCCTCGGGCTGTCCTCTGCCCCCATGTGTGTGCTCTGGCATGCTCGCACACAAAGTAAGTAAGGCGGTAAGCTGTGTTTCCTCCATCAGGCTAGACGTTCTCAGGGTACTAGAGCCATATTGACCCTCTAGAATAGGAACTTGAAGCTTGAGGCTTCCCCCCTCATACTGGAGGCATCCTGAGGGCCGGAAGCCGTGAAGCACTGTGATGGGAACGGAAGAAGTCATGGATTCTACTCTCTGATGCAGGGGAATGAGGTGTGAGCCACTGGTCACTGTTTCTCTGTCCTTCTGTGCTTTAGGATTCGAAGAGTCTGGCAAAAGAGGAAGTGTGGAGTCAAATATGGCTGCCTGACCATCTCACACAGCATGGTGAGGCCTCTTGGGGGTTCTGAGCAGACAGGTGCCAAGCTCTGTCCAGTGTTAGAGATCCCTGCTAGGAGGAGGGACGGTACCCAAAGAGCCTACTTAGAATCCTTATCCCCTCCCCTGGAGGGACAGGACTTTCTTGATTATTTAGTAGACAAAGAAACAAAGGATTCAGAGGCCCAGGGGGTAACATATGTGTCCTCCACTCTCAAATCCCCACAGATCAACCGGCCCCCAGTAAAGCTGACCCTGTTGACGTGCCAAGTGAGGCCAAACCCTGAGGAGAAAACGTGCTTCGACCTGGTGACCCGTGAGTAGTCTGTGCCAACCCCACACTGCCCAGTGCTTCCTCCTGAGAGGCTGCAGCCAGGGCTCTGTATTCAGTCCCACTAAGTAGCCAAAGGCTACCACTGCATACCCAGGACTCCAAGGGCCAGAGACTTTACAGGGTTTCACCTCCCATCCCTCTGAACATGAAAACACATGCTGGGAAGGAGCTGACCTTTCAGGCCAGGAATGTAGCTGACACTGCCTGGCAAGCCTGGAGCTCTGACTTCCGTGATGAGAACCACATAAAACTAGGCACAGTGCTGCACACCTGTAATTCCAACGTGGAGGATCAGAAGTTTAAGGGAATCCTCAGTTACATGGGAAGTTTTAAGCTAGCCTGGGCTACATGAGATCCTGCCTCATTTTTTTTAAAGCTATTGTCTTCAGAGAACCCTCTTGGAAGGAATGGGACCCAAGGCTTTAAGGTGGGGGTCTGGTTGTCCAGAGGAGAGAGGCATACATAGAGACCCTCAGAAGCCCCGACCTGCTGTAGGGAATCTAGGGCTGTGGGAGGAGAGTGTTTGCATTTAGCCTTGAGAGACACAGATTGTAGCATTTATGAAAAAGGAGGGACTTTAAGGTGGGGGTTAACAGGGTGGGAAGCATGAAAGCAGAACACGGACTCCCCCCATCAGTCTTACAAAGGACTTCACATAGTAGTGAGAGGCAAGGCCTGGACCTCTTCTAGGTCTGGACCTTGTTCCCCGTAGTCGGGACTGTGGGGGTCTGGAAGCAGGGTGCTGTATAGTTAAAGCCATAGACAAAACAGCTTGGGATCCGGTGGGGCGAGGTGAAGAGGAGAAGTAGGAAGCAAAGAAACTAGAATGGGGTGGCAGCTGGAGGTAAGGGCCATGCTGTGCTTGAGCGGGGCATAAGAGGTGTGCTAAGCACTGACCCTGGATCCACGGCCTCATGCAGAGAGCCTTGCTGGGGTCCTACTTCGGAGATGACTTCTGGAGGCGGTGGCACTTCGGGCCTGATCTCGGGGCACACAGGTGTTTGTCCTGGGGAAGGCCTGCAGGATCGGTGGCCTTGATGGCCTTTTTTCTACCCCACAGATAACCGCACATACCACTTCCATGCGGAGGACGAGCTAGAGTGTGAGGCGTGAGTGCCGGCTCTGGGCCCGCAGTGGTGGGGGCAGCGCATGGGGTAGGGAGCTCAGTCCCCCGACCCGGCCTCCTGTCCCCAATACGCCTACCATCTGCACAGGTGGGTGTCGGTGCTGCAGAACAGCAAGGATGAAGCGCTGAGTAGCGCCTTTAATGGGGAGCCCAGTGGCGGCCAGTGGTCTTGGGGTAGTGCCAGATTGGATTCTGAGCCCCAGGACCTCACCAAGATGCTGGTCGCTGAGGTGAAAAGCAGGCCGGGGAACGACCATTGTTGCGACTGTGGGGCTTCAGGTCAGTGGTGGGGAAGGTTTGGTGGGAGGGTGGGAGGTATGGAGAAGGGGCTCTGGGCTGGAGGCTTTAGCTGCGCTCCTTGCTCCCCTGCAGACCCCACATGGCTCAGCACCAACCTGGGTGTGCTCACCTGCATCCAGTGCTCCGGGGTCCACCGCGAGCTGGGCGTGCGCTTTTCTCGCATACAGTCCCTCACCTTGGACCTCCTAGGCCCCTCAGAGCTGCTGGTGAGAGCAGGGTCAAGGGTCAGAGAGAATGCTAGGGGTGTGGGGTGGGACTCGGGGGACTGGAGCTTGGCTAACTGGGAATGAATCTGAAGCAACCAGAGTGGGGTTGGTAGGGCGGCACATGGGGAACTATGGGGAAGGACTGGACTTCGGAGACTGGACCTCGCCAGGGGCTCTGTCCTAGCACCCAATTTTACCTGCTGACTTGATACCCTGTGCTGTGCCTCCAGCTCGCCTTGAACATTGGAAACTCCCACTTCAATGAAATCATGGAGGCCCGTCTGCCCTCCCATGGCAGCCCTAAACCCTCTGCTGAGAGTGACATGTAAGGAAGGTCTCAGAAGGTGGGGTTTGCTAGCTCCCCAGTTCCCAGGGTCTGAGAGAAGTCTGGGGTCAGAAGGTTGGAGAGAAGGGTACCCTCTGACCTGGAAGTCGCCAGGACACTAGATTCTCCTGGAGGGTGGTTCCAGAAGTTACTATGTGGACAAACTTCTGAGGACCCGTGGTTGTCTGTTGTCTGGGTAGGAGCAGCCGCAGGAACTACATTGTGGCCAAGTATGTGGAACACAGGTTTGCACGCCAGTCCACACCTGATCCCCAAAGACTAAGAACAGCCATCTGCAGCAGGGACCTCCTGTCTGTACTGGAGGCCTTTGCCAATGGGCAGGACTTCGGACAGCTACTGCCAGGGCCTGACGGGCAGGTGAGAGGCCCTCCCAGGGCCACTTTTAACCCACCTGCTCTCACATGCTCCCCAGCCCTCCTCTAAGACCAGATGTCACAGTCTTCTACCATCTGCTCAGATCTCACACATTAAATGGGAAAGAGAATAATAGCTCCAGCCAAGCAGACCTAGGTCAGAATCCCTGCTGTATCTTTTCTTAGCTCTGCGACCCAGGGTAGTTAGTTAACTTCTCTGAGTCCTAACATGGGTTAACAATCGCCTTGGAAGTGGAAATGGGCAGGTCTGATTAGAGTGTGAAAGCCCCTGTATTTTGGAGATCCATTCATGAGGGAGGAAGGATTTCAGAATGATCCCGTCAGCAGGAGTGACTGTGACTGATTGGACATTTAAAAACTGACACTGGAGAGATACTTCAGTGTTTAAGAGCACTGGCTGCTCTTCCAGAGGGCCCGGGTTCAATTCCCAGTATTCACATGGTGGCTCACAACCATCTGTAACTCCAGTGCCCCCTTCTGGTCTCCATGGGCACCATATGCATGTGGTACACAGATATACAGGCAAAACATTCATGCCTGTGAAATTGGGAGGGGGGGGATGTACGCAGTCTTTTCAAAACAAAACAACTGGATGTCGCTGACTGGGGGTGTAGCATCTGTGATGGAGCACAGTGAACCTAACCTGTGAGGCCCCGAGTTAGCCCGCAGCACGGGAGGAGGTGGAGCAGGATGTTTCTGAACTGTACGTCCGAAATCGTCACAGGCCACCTAGTGAACAGTAAGGGCATAGCACTTGAGTGAGGTGGGAAGTAGGACCTGGGTAAGGTGGGCAGCATGTTTAGCAGGTGACCTCCCAAAGAGTCCTTGGTGAGGAAGTAGGACAAAAGCAGAACCCCAGCCCGATGAGGATTTGGGAACACCTTCTCCTTGGGCAGAGGAGGAACCACTGACTGCCTGGGCTTTCTCAGGCTTCCCTAATGTGAGGATCTATCCATAGGGTCTTGTCTCTTGGGGTTTCTGACCCCTTCATAATCAGAGATGCTGGGGCAACAAGGGTTCATGGGGGAAGCACCAGGTTGAGGGCAGGTGACAGGGGAAACTCAGGCATGTATGTGTGTGTCTGTATGTTCAGGCACCCGGAGAGCTCGCCCTGCACTTGGCCATCAGAGTCGCCAGCCAGGCTTCCCTGCCCCTAGTGGACTTCCTCATCCAGAATGGGTGAGAGCCCGTCTGCCATCAGCAGCCTCCCTGTTCCCCCACCCCCTCCTTGTCCCTCAATCTTTCCCTGGGACTCTGACCCCCTTACCTGCTTGTTTCCCTCCCCAAACCTCCCTGCTACGCTCTCTTTCTAGTGGCCACTTGGATGCCAAGGCCGCAGATGGAAACACCGCCCTGCACTGCGCGGCGCTCCACGGCCAGCTGGACTGTCTCAAACTTCTGCTGAAAGGGAGAGCTCCCGTGGGGGCAGGTGCGGCCCGAGGCCCCTCCAGACTCCTTCACAGACCCGAGCACTGGCAGCAGGCATATTCCTACTCCTGACTTGCTTCTGCGCTCCTTTGTGGCCTCAGGGGTGGGGCTGTCATTCATTTCTAAGGCCTCAGCTTCCTCTCCTGTCCAAATGGGAGTGTCACAGAGCTAGTGAGCCCTCCAAAAGGTGTGGATGGAGCAAACGAAATCCTATCTGTATCTGGGTACAGTGATAGGACGGTTCCCTGCTTACCATACAACATGTGTCTGGTCCCATGACATGTGAGCCATACTGCTAATCAGTGAATCCTCAAAGCCTGGTCAGATAGTTTCAAGTATCATATTCATTTTATAGATGAGACAGTTAAGACCCAGAGAGGTTAAGTAGGTCACCTAAGGCTGCACAGCTAGGAATTCAGAGAGCCAGTTTTTTCATACCCAGACAATCTGATTCTGAGGTCCATAGAGACCTCAAAGCTGCCTTAATTCTTGACCATGGTCCCTGGATTTCCCCTTCACAGCAAATGATGCTGGAGAAACAGCTCTGGACATAGCCAGGAAGAAACAGCACAAGGGATGCGAAGAACTGGTGAGTCTGAGGGCAGAGGCCGCCCTCTAACCCTTCCTCCCCCATGCTGGCCCTCTGACATGGTGAGCCTTGGCTTTTGGCAGCTGGAGCAGGCACAGGCAGGGACCCTCGCCTTCCATCTCCACGTGGACTATCCATGGGGACATTCCATGGGCCATGGCTTTGACAGTGAGGAGGAGGAGGAAGAAAAGGTAGGCCCAGCCCTTCAGCTCTGGGTGGCATCAGACAAGAGCCTTACTGGGCCTGTTTGGGAAGGGGCAAGCTGAGCTGTGGAAACCAAGATGGCCTTTCCCCACAGCACTGTCCTGTGAAGCCCCCAGCTCAGGCCTGCTGGGGCAGTGGGAGGTTGGACATCAGTAACAAGACGTATGAGACCATTGCTAGCCCGGGACCAGCCACCTCTCAGAGCCAGAGCGAGGACAGTCCCCCACCCCTGCCCATCAAAAGCTCTTCTAGGACCATACACCCAGGGCGAGCTGGACATTCCAATGGAGGTATGGTTGGCTGCCCAGAAGTATTGCGAGCATGCCGTTTATTGAGAGACTGCTGCGTGGAGTACTGTGCTGGGCATGCATGCTGTATGCCAGAGCTAAGTGTGGTAGCACATGCCTGTAATCCCAGCTACGAGGAGCTGGGAGCAGGAAGATCAGGAGTTCAAGGTCAGCTAGGCTCAGTGAGACCCTGTCTGAAAACAACAGAGCCTATGGCGGCAAGCCCACCCCGCCATCAAGGTTCCCTTAGGCCATCCTCTCCTTCAGGTAAAGGGAGAGATGTTAAGTGACATGCTTAATCTGCCACCATTTGTGAAGCTTCTACTGTGCGATTCCAGCCCAGGTTGGGCTTTCTGGGATTCTTCAGTGCTTCAGTTAACCAAAAAGACACGTGTTTGTGGAGCATGCCCTGTGTGAGCCTAGTGAAGGGATGGAGCCTCGGAAGCAGTCAGTCATAACGTGAGGCTCCACATACTATAAGTGCTAATCCCAGGAGACCCAGGTTTGGTCCTCGGCAGAGTGCTCTCCCAGTACTGAGCAGAGCCTGGCTGTGCTCTTAGACTTGTGTATTGGATGAATGGAGCTTGCTGCAGGAGGCCAGGAAAGAGATAATGGGGAGGGTAGCTCCTGCTGGAGCTGGCAGTGGGTTGGGAGGGCTCCCTGAAGGAGGTAATGCCTAACCTGAGCTTGGGGGCTAGGCAGAAATGCCCAGGCTGAGGAGAGCGGGTAGACCCTACTAAATGAGAGTGCTGGGTGGCGCAGGGGCTGGGGAGCTGCGAGACAACCATGATGGAGCCATGAAGCCAAAGTCAGCTTTGACGCTGAACAAAGAGGAAAGCATTTCTTTTTTTAAAAGATTTATTTATGTATATGGTTGACATATTTGCATGGATGCCTGCGAGATCCTCTGGAAGAGCAGCCAGTGCTCTTAACCGCTGAACCATCTCTCCAGCCCCACATTTCTATGTTCTTATCACAGGGGAGCAATTAAAAAACAAACGTCACTTTGTGGTTCTAGATCGCTCTGACACCCCCAGTCTGAGGTCAGAGTCTCCTGAGGCCTCAGAGAACCCAAACAGCCCAGCGTCTTCCTTATCCAGCCTCACCGGCTCTGTGGAACCTGGGAGGTTGAGCCAAGCCCCGCCTAGCCCTGAAGAAGGCCTCCAGGAGACACCAGGCACCTCCCGACCTGGGCCAGCATCTGGGACCACCCCTCCTGAGGTGTACCTCCCCGTCAAGTTCAGGTTGGTATAGGCCTAGCTGTGCTGCTCAGTATGCCTCCTGACCACTTTGAGCATGCGTTGGCTTCTCTGCCTTTGAACAGTATCTGTCTGTAGTCTGGGTCACAGTCTCACTTAGGACCCAAGGTGTAGGCTGCACCTGGGTGGAGTCTTACCTCTTCCTCTTCCTACTACCTGCTTTTTGGTTTTGGTTTGTTTTGGTTATCTTTTTATCTGAGACAGGGTTTCTCTATGTAACAGCCTTGGTTGTTCTGGAACTCGCTCTTTAGACCAGGCTGGCCTCGAACTCACAGAGCTCCACCTGCCTCTGCCTCCTGCATGCTGGGATCTACCACCTGCTTTTAAGTTTAGCCAGGAGAGCCAAGGAGGAGCCTGGGCTTGGGCTGCTGAAGTTGGTGGGAGAAGGAAAAGCTTAGCCTTACCTGCAGAGACCCTTCTTAAACCCTCATGAAATCTTCACCTGTCAATCCAACTGCCTCGCTTCTCTGCAAACCCTTTTTGTCTAGACTTGAGTCTGGGGAGAAGTAGACTTGCGGGCATCCTTAGAGCCCTCTGCAGAGGGATCAGTTCCAGACCTCCAGGGCCTGTGATGATCCAGCCTCGGGGCCTGGTAGACTCTGGGTCCCCTTTCCTACCACCTCAGCCTTTTCTGTCTACCCGGGTCCCTCTGAGGGGCTCTGGACAGCTGGGTGACTTTGGCCATCCCTGCCTTCCAGCTCGGAGAGCACTCGGTCCTACAGACGGGGAGGTCGGATCCTGGAGGATGGTCCCTCTGCCTGGCATCCTCTGTCTAGAAGGAACATTCCGGTAAGAGCACTGGGTGTGTGCTTTGAAGCATAGGTTCCCGTGTTGTAGAACTGGTCAAGAGCAGGCACAGAGGGGAGGATGCCCTCCCTCGATGATGGCAACACTATGGACCAAGATGGCCACTGTTAAGCTGGTGCACCTCCCTGCTTTAGCCCAGGACTGCGTGCATCTGAGTGAAGCCTACCTAGAGCCATTTCCCAGAGGAGACACAAAAGGCTCTTTAACTGTGTCTGCTTCATCCTTCTTTTCCCAGGTCGTCCTTGTGGAAGGAGATGGCTCAAAGACCGGGGCTCTCGCGGCAAGTTCTCTGCAACTTTTGCACGACTAGCTCCTTGCTGACCCCTCTGCATGGCCCCACACTGGACCCCAACATTCAAAGCTGGGACTTGAGCCCACAGAACTGGACTGTGCCCCTGCCAAGGACACTGACCCTTCTGTGTTGGCGCTGATGTAGATCTGAGGATGAGGATGCCTGGACTGGGTTCAGTTATCCAGCCAGTCAGTCCTTGCCAGACCAGGACCATTTCTCCCTACGAGGATGGGACCCACTTGCTATCTTTCACATCCGGGCACTGTCTTGTGGTCTAGTATTTCCCGTGATGATTCCAGCTCTGTGTCCAGACCTTTGCTAGGTACTATGGATGCCACATGAATAAGACAAGCATCCCACAGGTATGGTCCCTTGCTGGAAAGCTGTTCTCAAGAACTGACTTGGAATGAGCAGATCCTAAAGAAGGAAGATTGCTTCTGAGCCCCCAGGGTCAGCTTTTGTACATCTCAGAGCCATTCTTTTATTCATCTCTAATAAAGGATTCTCGGGGGAAGGACGGATCCTGCTGGTTCATTTATGGGTTCTAAAGAGTAATAGGAAAATGAAGGACTCTTAGGACTTGGGGTTCTTCCCCTGGCTCTGGTGAGGGACAGGGCTGGTAAGGAGGAGTGGTCACAGTATGAGCAGGGACATTTGGTGTGGCAAACATTTGCAGCTGGAGGGCGCATCCCCGAGGTCAGGGATAACCTCCTCAAGCACACTGTCTTTGTCTGTTTGTGTTGCTGTTTAATAGAATGCTGGAGGCTGGGCACTTTCTACAGCAAAAGGCTTTATTTGGCTTAGGATTCTGGCAATTAGAAAAGTCCAAACGGCATGTCATGAACAGCTGGTGAAAGGCCCCCTGGCTGTCACAACATCGCAGAGAGGTGGAAAGCAAACACTATGTGTAGTGGTTTCAATTGGCTTTATAGTAGCTCACTTTTGTCAGAACTCACTTGCTCTGAGAGACAGACCTCAACGCCCCCCCACTAGTTACCTCCCACTAGGCTCCACCCCTTAAAGGCTCGGTCATCACTCAACATTGCCACATCAGGCAGGAATCAAGCCTCTGGCCTGTAAGAAAACACACTCAAACCATAGCCGCGTGGTAACGGTCATCCCTCTGGCAATAGCCAATCCAAAATGTCAGCACTAAGCCTGAGAACTGCTGGTGTGTGCAGGAAAGCACACTGGGCTGGAGTGTGAGGACCTCACGTTTGGACTCTCCTCTCCCATGGTTCCCTGATTGCTTCCAGATGATGAGTTGGCCAAGTTAGTGAGGTGACCCCCAGGAGCATAACGAGGGTAGAGAAGCGAAAAAGGAGGTCACCAAATGCTAGAGGAGGACAAGGACAAAGTTGTGGAGAATCTGTTTGCCACACAAGCACGAGGACATGAGTTCAGATCCCCAGAATTCATGCAAAAAGTCAGGCATGTAGTGTACTCTCGTACTCCTGGCTCTGTGGAGGCAGATTCTAGGGGATTCCTGCTGCTTACTGACCAGCCCCAAGTTCAGTGAGAGACCCTGACTCAAAAGATAAAGTGGCTAGCATTTGAGAAAAGCGTCCATCAATGACTGGTCACCACATGTACCCATACACACGCACACAAAAGCATAAAGGATGCTGGCACATTGGCACACATCTGTAATTCCAGCATCTGAAGGCCGAGGCAAGAGCATAGTGAGTTAGGAAATACCTTCAATCTGTCCCTCTGAGAGTAAAGAATGGGGTACTTACCACCAATGCTGGGCCCCTCTTGGGGTATCAATTCCCTGCCTGCCCCCAAAACTCAAAGGGAGATATGCCAAGTAGCAGCTGTGTGTCAGGATTGCGTGCAGGTGAGCTCCCAGGTGGGCAGAGGGGACATAATGGGTACCAGCAGTGCTGGCTCCACTCCGGGAGAATATCAATGATCCCACCTCCTGAGCTTTCATTTGCATAGTAAGGTTGGACGTGTTTATTCGGGTCCTTCATACTTGTGTTGGCCAAGAAGCCTCCCAGGAGCTCTAATCAAGAAAAACCTGGCTTGGGCAACTAGATGCTACCCACCCCCTCCTTTCCCCCACCTTCCTTCTCCACATCCCTATGCTGCAGCCACTGACTTCTCAGTTCCTCCACCGCGGACATGCCAGGGACCCTCCCATCCCTAAGCTTTGTACATTGAGTTCTCCAGAGGGCTGGCTGTCTTGCTCTGGATGCCAGAACCACCTGGAGCACAGGTGCTCAGTAAATAGAATAAACACGCGTGGCCTCCTCAATGGCACAAACCCCCTCTTTCTCCCACCAAACTCCCACCCTGCCCCTTACGGCAATAGATTTCACTTCTTGAGAGGGGATGGCACCCAGCTGGGCCTTTCAAGCGCCCTCTTCCGCGCCGGCCCCACCGCAGCTGTGGGGAATGCAGTTCTTTTCAATCCTTGTTTTGCCCAGTCGGCTGCAGTGAGGTCTTTCTTGCTAGTTGATTGGACGAGTTTGTTGGGGGAAAAAAAAAACACAAACAAGCAAAAAAACCATCATTGATCGTCACCACACAGCAGCAGTTGGGAGACAGGTGTCCACAACAGGCTACCTCTGGTCCAGACCTGGTTCTCTGAGGTTCTCTCAAAAAGTTGGGGGATTTCAGTTTTCCCGATCCTCACACACTGTGGGCCCTCTTCTGCTCTCCATCCAGATCAGAGACCCTGGCAGGAAAGTCATTTTCTAGGTCTGCAGGGGACTCTTGTAAGACCTTTCTACCGGAGAGTACGTGTGCACAGCTGAGTGGGAGGCACACTTACTCCGTCCACCCCAAATTTCTCTTCCAAGCCCACCCCTTGCACACTGCAGTAAGAATCACCCAAAGCTTGGTCTCTCAGAGCATGATTGCGCCCCAGGACTTGAGAGTTTGTTAGAAACACATTAAAGTATACTGCGGCCGGCTGGCCGGCAAAAGGCTCCAAGCATACCTCCCGAGAAGAGGCTGGAGACGGAAGCACACCACAGGCCTTGGGTACACGAAGGAGCCTAAGTTAGGGCAGGGCTGACTTCAGGATGCGATGAATGTACCAACTTCTCTCGGCTTGGGCATAGCCACGAAACTAAGTCCTCCTTCTGGGAGATGCAAAGACCCAGGAGCTCAGAACTTCCCGCAGCTGCACTCACACTCCAGGAGAAGCCTCATGCCCAAATGTCCCTGCAGCCCGGGGCACCCTTAAGAGGGTCGGAAAGGAAAAGCCCCTTTTCCCAGCCTGGTCCTTCCCCCAAAGGTGCGACCCGCCTGGCTCGTGCAATCTTTGCCCGGGCAGTCCTTGAAGTCTATATTTAGTGCCCGCCACCCCTCCCCCAGCGCTGGGAGGGGCATGCCCCGCCCCCGCCGGGCTTGAGTGGAGTGTTGCGCCCGTGCCGCTAGCGCTCTGCGCTTTGGCGCCCGCTACTGCTCTGCGCCCCTAACCCCGCGGGGCGTCGTGGACCAACATGGGCCTGGAAGAGGAGCTGCTGAGGATCGCCAAAAAGCTGGAGAAGATGGTGGCCCGGAAGAAGACGGTAAGGCTGCAAAGTTTGCAACGCAATCCCCGGGCCACGGAGGAGCGACCCGGCCAGCCACGGGTTTGGTGGGCGTGCCGGCCGTGTGCCCGAAGGGAGCGCTCAGGACTCCGGACTGGAGGCGGGTGGCAGGCTGCCAGGCAGGGGAGTCCCGCGCTACTTGCTGGGCACTTAGGGTGTGTGTGTGTGTGTGTGTGTGTGTGCGTGGCCAGGTCTGGAGAGGATTGTGAAGCCCCCTCCCTTCCCCCGAGGCGCGACTGGTGCAAGTCAGTGTGGACAAATCGGGTGCATTCGTGGGCTACCTGCGCTGTGCAGTGAGAACGTGAGGAGAGACACGAACCTGGAGCGAGGATTTTGAGAGTGCAAGGTCGGAGAGCTGCAGGCACGGCGGGAGTTGGAGGAACAAATTCTGATTGACTTGAAAAAGATCAGAGAAACTCGGGCTGAGAAGGGGCCGCCGAGCTGCATTTGCACTCCGCCACCCGGGAGTGGGCCTGCGAGACCAGAGCGAAGGGCCTTAGCTGGGGGTGCCAGGAGTCTGTTTGCAACTTTTTCCTTGGCCACGGGATGGGGCCCTGGCTGGCGGAGGTGAACAGGTGCGGGGCGGGGGGCGGGGAGTGGGGGAGGAGAGGATGAGGCCTGGGCTGCCCCAGCGGGAGAGGTGCGCGAAGGAGAACTGTGCCGGGAGGAGGGTCCGCAGCCCTGCGCGAGGGTCCCTGATCTCTCAGTTCCAGCAGCGCACGTCGAGAGCCAAAAGGAAAGTTAATGTTTGATCTGTCTATCTAGCGATCTTTGCCTCAGGCTGGTGGCTGACGCCTGTGCCAATTCTGGAGGGCGTGAACAAGGAGGGAGGGAGGACAATGCTGGAGGGAGAAGACAGGGGACCCGGTGGATAAGGCCCTCCACGCCGACTCGCCGCGGGGTTCTTTTCTTCTCGAAGTGTCTTGCAATGTGTTACACCGGGACCTGCATTGCGCCAGTACATTCCAAGAAAGATGAAAAACGCTGGGGTCCGCGAGGAGAGGTTTCAGAGCCCGGAAGAGCGACTGAGGCCTGAGGAGCCAAGGGGGTGTCAAGCATCCTGGAATAGTTGCTGGGCAACAATGAGATGGTGGTGTTGGTACAGTGTTGAGAGCTGCCGTTTCCTCGTCTAAGATGATTGAATTCCTGGGGAAGAGCATCTCGGGACCGTAGAGAGGGGTGAGGAGTGAGACAGGTTTGCAAAGCCAATGGCAGGTCAGAGACAGGTGACTGAGGTGAGCGAGGCTTGCTTCTGCATGGCTGGAGGGGAAGCAGAAAGATGCCTCTCACCTGCACCGCCCAGGCTGCAGTTCCTCCCTCAGCTCCCATCCTCCGCTGAGGTGCTCTGGGCCACCCCCAAAGTTGCTGGCAAAACCTAATCTCAAGTCACAGGACACTTCTGCCGCTGGAGATGGCAGAACCCAACTAAGAAGCTGAGTGGCACTTCAGGTAGACAGGCTGTCTAAGCCTAACCCCTTGCTCACCCCAGACACTTGGATGAGCAAAGGAAGTCTGGACTTCCAGGTGAGAAGGATTAGGGGTAACAGGAAACTCAGGAGGCTCTGGGGAAGACAGCCAGGTTGGGAAGCTTAAGGGGCCTCCTACGGCTTAATTCTTTTACAGCCCTAGGCCAGCCACTGTACTTTTCTTCTTTGGACCTCGGTTTCCTCTTCTGTGAAATGGGAAGAGGTATTGGTGCCTCTTGGGAATAAGGGCCCGTGGAAGTGACAGGGCTGTCACCAGGAAAGTGGTGTGTCTGGCCACAGAGTCCTTACAGGACAGAGCCAGTGTAGAGCTGCGTCTGTGCCTGGAGTCTGTGCCTGGACTCTAGCAGGGTTTGGGTAGGCACGGAGCTCTGGGCTTCGGCCTGGGAAAGGCGGGCCTGTACAGAGAGTGAAAGTGGACCCGCCCAGTGGTGGTTAGTCCAAGAGAGAATTGCTTCCTGCAATAAGACAGCGTCCACGTTGCA